TACAAAAATTATTATTATTTACTTTATTATTTTTTTTAAATTTAATTTTATTCATTATCAGTATTATTATTATTTGTATGCACTATTTATATATAGTAGGTATGTTGTTGTTGCTGTTACTTCTCTTTTGCTTCTCTCGGCTTCTGCATACTATATATATATATATATGTATATGCCTAGGCTTTACCTCAGTTACTTGCCCTAAAAACTCATTTAATTGTACGCATATGCTGCTGCTTCTCCCTTTGCTTCTCTCTTCTTCTATGCTGTATATGAACCTTAAAATTTAAATTTACTGTGCGCTTTATATTGTTTTATTTATTTTTTTTCTTTTTTTTTTTTTTGGTTATACAAAGTTCATGTTTAAAAACTAAATAAAGACAATCTTAGACACATTGTTGGTTGTTACTTGTTCTGCTTCCTCCCTCTCTTCGTTTCTGCTAACTTGTTTCGTTTCCTTTCCCTCTTTATTTTCGACTATGTTATAATATTTGATTTCGTTTTGTTTTTGTTTGTTAAACTAATTTTTGTTTTAAGCAAAGTTTTCATTTTGGTTTTTCTTTTCGTATTTTTTGTTTTCTTTAAATGTCTTGAAATTATTTGATAAGCGGTCTATATGTTTCATGTATCTTCGGTGAAATGTGTGTTTGTGTGTGTTTGAACAGAGTTTTTGGTATTATCTTTATTTTCTTTTAATATTTTTATTTTAGTTATTTGTTTTTGCTAATTGTTTTGCGAGCTGTGTTTTCTGTTTTATTTATTTTTTAGTCTAAATTTCATTTCGTGTTTTGTGTTTTTCTGTTGTTTTTTCGTTATACTTAGCTAGCCTAAAATATTTTTTGTTTTGTTTTTAAATTTATGTTTTATCCGCCTTTATTTAAGTTTATAGCTATGTTTATTTATGTATTCCTCTTTTGGGTTTTCTCTCTCTTTTTCTTCAATATACTTTTGTTAAATGTGATTTTTTTTTTGTTTTGGTTTATTTTCGTTTAATGTTTACCTAAAAAACCTATTTTTGTGGCAGTTGTTTTTTGTTTAATTAAATATTAATATTCTTTGTTTCTAGTTGTAATAAAATATGCTATTTGTTGTTGTTTTTTTTTTTAAAGGTTTTTTCAATAGAGATTTATAATTTATTTACTTTCATATATATATTTTTTATATTTTTCATTTGAAAGAGGACCATAAATATTTAAAGTGTTTTTGTTTGCCTTTTTCCTTGCATTTTCCATTTTCAATTTCCTTGCCCATTTATCATTTGCTCTCATTGAATTTTCCGTTTCAAAACAAATTGGCAGGCGAAACGACCTGCAAATTTTCTTTGTTATTTTCTTATTTTTTTTTTTTTTACACTCAACTTGATTTTTATTTTTTTTTTAATTAGCTAGCATTACGAGTAATTTTCTAGAGTACGAAATACAATTAATGACATTTTTCTTTTTTTCCTTTGGGGGTTTCTTTTCATTTGTTTTTCTTCATTTTTGCTGAACTGCAAATCTCTGTGAAAATTCGCAATGTGTTTTGCTCTGTGTATAAGTGTGTGTGTATTTCTCTGTGTGAGTGTGTGTGTGGCCGCATACTTATTGCATGCACTATAAGGCGCCCTTTGAGATGATGGTCACCGTTCGACCATCGCTGCCTAACCACTTCCATCTCCGCCACCAATCGTTGATGTTGTAGTTGTAATAGTAGATGTAACGGTAATTTCTATCATACCTATTCCTATCGCTCGTGCAACGTCTATTTCGTATCTGTGGCTGCAGCTGCAGCTGTATGTGTTTATAGTTAATTATACGACTACGGTCTCGCGATACGCGTAGATAACGCACTTGGCGGCATTTCATCGATAGCCATGACCATAGCCATGACCATGCCCACAGCCATGACCATGCCCATGCCCATGCCCCCGACCATGCCCATGCCCATTCCCATGGCCACGCCCATTTGTGTCTGTTGTGTGTGGCAGTGAAGCTTGCACTTCCGGCTCCGATTCCCCTTCCTCTTCCCCTTCCTCTTCCTCTTCCGCTTCCGGCTCCATTTCCGACTCGCTTTCTCGAACTTGGACTCGGACTTGGACTTGGACTGTTCGCTAACAGCTCATGGCAGCTGCCCGGACACGAGTCCACACGTTCCGCAACTGCGACCGCTGTCGCTGCCGTTGCCGTTGCCGCGGCCGCCCTCTGGGCACGCCCACTGCAACGCTGTCGCGCCGCCCCAGCGCCACAGCTGCTCAACAGACCGAGCAGCGCGCTCAGCCAGACAAGCAGCTGCGTCGGCGGCGTCGGCGCCACACCGGATGCATAATAGGGTATATCACAGCGGCTTGTCACTGACGGCACCGCCGCACAGCCGCCGGACAGCGCCCGCTCCGGCATCTCGCTGCCCTCGTCATCGTCGTCATAGTAGTAGACGCTCTCGTAGTTCACATAATACGGCAGCTGCTCCAGCAGCCAGCCAGCTCCCTGCTCCCCCTTCGTCCGCGAGATGTTCCGCAGGGCCAGCGAGACGCTCGCAGCACGCGCATGCTCCCCCGCCGGGGAGCTCAGCGTCAATGTGATGTTGTGCACCCGATGACCGCTTGAGCTCGAGTTGCTGCTGCTTCTGTTGCCGTGGGGGGAGCCGAAGGTGGGCGCAAAGTCCGGGCAGATGGTGCAGATGCCCTCAGTGGGTCCGTTGCAGTAGCTGTAGCAGCAGTCGTTGGGGCCGTAGCTCGACTTCTTCAGCTGTTCTCCAGTCTCCGGTATATTTTGATCTGCAAGGGCAGCGGAATAGGTCAAGCGATGGAGCTCTTGAGAGTTTTATAGATATATATGTGCAGATCTATCTATGTAAAGTACACATGTACCCATAGCATATATTCATATATTATTTAGTAGTAAAGAAATTTTTATATTAAATAAAGTATTAATTAAAGTATTTAAATACAAATTATATTTTTAAAAATTATCTTTATAAATAAATGACAAATAAAAGTATTGNTTTTTTTTTTTTAACAAACCAATCAAATACTAATTTAAATGAGCTTTAATTTTGTATTGCATTTTCAAATGATTGAAACACGATATAATTTGAATTCATTTATGTTAGTGCGTGCTCTATCAATCGATTATAATTATCTCAGGTTCCTATCGATATATGGCTCATGTTGACAATAACTATCGTATTTAACTATTGAAGTGTTTCTGATAACGGAAAACAAAAAGTAATGTATTTTATATACATGCAATATATTTGGCAAAACTTATAAATATACTCTCAGCTTCCAGTTTATAAATTTCGACGCGTCTCATTGCCAAACGAACTTAATGTTTTTATTTGATCAGTACAAATATTCAGTTGACGTCGCGACGTTGGTAAATCTTAAAATTGGCAAATCCAGAATGACGCTTTCTGCTAGTTCATTTCAGCGTCAGCCCTTGCGGTGTTGAGACTATGCGTTTCACTTGTGGCACTTGCCACTGTGTCAAGATGTTGGCTCATTGTCCTTTTTCCCACCCAACTTAGGGGCTGTGGACGATTTCGAATCCGCTATCTTCGTCATGTCCGCTTTGTCGCACTGCACCTCCAATAGCTTCACATGAGCGATTGTTTGGCCGAAGAGCTTTTGCCTAAGGCTTGGCCTTTTGGCCTCTATTCGGTGCACCTTGACGTCGGCCGACAGCCCCAATTCCGTCAGGTTCACTTCGCATTCGCGCTGTCGCTGTCTGTGACGCCGTTGCCTGTTTCGATGCTTGCCGCCCACTGTTAGTTCATTGGAATACTGCAGACTGCAAGAGGGAGTGCTGCTGCCGCTGTCGCTGTGATTGCCTGACTTGGCCTGCTTCGTTCGGGAATGCTTCTGCTCCAGCTCGCATTTGTTCTTCAGAGCCACCTCCTCAATATGCCGCTCCTACGAAGCGGAGGAACGGCCATTTAGAAACAAGAGCGTATATAAGGTTTAAGGTTTAAGTTTAGAATTTACAAGTTGTGGCACCTACAAACATGGCGCGCCTGTGCTTATCGCGCTTGGCCAGGACCACCACCCAGGCGCCGTAGGACAGCATAATGCCAGCGGGCACCAGCATCCCAGCCAGAGCAGCTGTCTTCCGTATCCAGGCATGATACACAGCCATGAAGATCACTGCCAAAGAATAATGATAAAAATAAATTTTTTAAATGGATTCAATTGCAGAGAAAACGTTCCTGAGGCATGAGTTTCTGATGAAAATCTACTGAATGATCGGAATGACGAAAATTTGTATTTTTTTTTATAATTTACAATGGAATTTTTGTCCTGCATTCGTCCGCTCGACTTTTCGAATGGGACTCTCAAATACTCTTACTAGTCGCATAAGGAACTACTAGCTCATTTATACTAAGAGACATTAAGTCTACACACTTCGCATAAAAAGTATTCCTGTAAAGCTGTTATGGATTAGGCTTAGGTGAGAAGCGCAGAGAAGATCGAGCTGTTATGGATTAGGCTTAGGTGAGAAGCGCAGAGAAGATCGCCTGACTGATGGACGGACATGACTAGAACGAATAGGCTTGTCGTCCTAATCAAGAATATATATAAATATCGATATTTTGAAGACCTATCAAAATAATAGTTGCAGTTCATTTAAGTATATATTTAATATAATTGGGTTTTTGGGATATCTGTTCTTCTTCTTACCTAGAAAGGCAACAATTACGGCCACAAGTCGTCCATTGGCTTTTCGTTCCTCCTGCAAAGGAAAATGTAGTTAAAAAATTATCTGAATAGATGATATACCTATATTTCTTATATGAAAATTTGACCAGCCAAACCTAGTTCATACAAATGCCATTTAGTTATGGCTTATAATAGTTTGAGTGCCACAATAGAAGGAAAATGATTATTTTCTGTGCAATTTCCAGAGGTCCATACGTTTTAAATATTTCCCATTTCGGATATAGAATCTAGATATCAATTTACTATATTAACATTAATAATAAAGTGCATAAGATTTGGCACAAAAGCTATTCAAAAATTGCTCTTGATTTCCCATGGTAAAGGCTATAAGTGCAGTCGCTGCGTCAACTGCGCAGTAAGCAGAGAAGCAGAGAATGAGTGGAGCAGGATTTCAGAGTATTTGCCAGTGGGTCCAACTGGAGTAACCATAGAGTAAATAATTATATTTCAAGCATAAAGTCTAGTGGGCATTGCACGAAACTTATATACCCGTTTCACTTTATAAGCGAATCAATGACGATTGTAAAAGAACGTCTGTATGTATATGTATATATTTATATATGAAGAGCTCATACGTAATATGCATACATATAGATATGTATATGTACGTATATGTATGTATATAGGCGTGGCTTACCCTATATTAAGCTGCAATATTCTGGGCTATGAATGGATCGATATACATACATACACGCATACCAACTGACATACTTTTGAATGTGTGTATGTGTGTGTGCCAACATTGTTTATAATCTCACGTTCGCACAAGATCTGAGCATCTGCAAATTTGTATTATGCATACAGACGTGCATATCCGATCGAGATGACAAATAAAAGTATTGTAAATATTAAAAAAAAAAAAAATATGTAAAATTTACATCTGTCAATTATGCCTCAATAAATGAAAGCTGTAAATGCCCAAGTTAAATACACAAATTTAATAGCCATCGGCCTTTTGTTTTAGAATTAATTTAAGTAATTTTTTTTATTATTTTTTTTTTTTTGTTGTTGCAAAAATTGGAATTATTAAGATAAACTTTATTATTTGCAATTCGCGTTTCACGTTTCAGTTCATGCGTCGATTCACGTTACAGTTCACGTTTCAGTTCACGTTTCGGTCCACTTGGCCTTGTATTAAATATATGGCCAATAGAAAAGAGAGAGAGAGAGAGAAAAGAAAAACTGATTTGATTTCAGTTTAACTTTTAACGCCCCAAGCGAAATGCATATCAAAAGAATTGAATTGCACAAGGAATCTACAAGTTCACTATTTCTGATTCCAGTTCTGATTCGGAATTGAAAGCAGACCGCTAGAGCTGTATAGCTATACGAAAAGCGATTCATTAAATTTTTTTAAGAATTTAAAAGTATTATAAAACATAATTAACTCAGTTCTAATCAAAAACAATATTTTGATAAATATTAAAAATCCATTAAAAAAAAAAATTTTTTTTATTAAACAATTTTTTTTTTTTGTAAATCGTCCTGAAATATAAATAGCTTACAGCTTACCTAGGCATACGAATGTCGGCTCGCCGGCATATTGGGTGGGGAGCGCGGGGGCGCGGTCGGCGGGCAGCAGATAGGGGCACTTTTGTTCGACGGTTTGGCAGACGCTAAGGCAGGGTCGAATCCTACGGCGTTTGCGGAACTCTGCCTTGCGTGTTGATCTAAGCGAGCGAGCCAGATAAAGAGAGAGAAGACAATATGTTATTATAGGGTATATGCAAGTCGATCGATATGTGTGATTTAAGCAACCTCTTTTGTAGTTTTGATATCACTGGATCCGCTGCACTGGGATCCGCATTATTGGCAGTCGATATGAAATTATTGAATTGTTCTTCTTCCTCCTCGCGCTGAGCCGTGGCAGCTCGGCTATGGCTGTTGCTGTTGCTGTTGTTGTTGTGTAACTGGAACTGGAACTGGAACTGGGTCTGGAACTGGCTGTGAACTGGGGCCGGAACTTGGGCGTGGGCTTGCGTCTGGGCATGGCCAACGCCAACGACATCGTAGAACGTCGAGAGCTTTGTTTGCGGCTCAATGCGGGGCTCATTGTCCTCGTCATGCTGTTGATTAATCTGACGCTCGTTCATGTTATTGCCGTTATTTGATTTATTGTTATTGCTGATTAATTTCTGAGATTTATGCTTGATGCCATTGCCCGTGCCACCAACAGCAGCAGCGGCAGCTCCTCCTCCTGCTCCGCCTCCTCCTCCTCCTCCTGCTGCTGCGCTCACAGTTCGTGCCGCACGTTTACTTTTGCCCGCGGGCATTGTCTTTGCAGCTGACCCTCGCGGCATGGCGAGTTCATCGTTTGTCGCTGACGCTGGCGTCGGCGTCGGCGTTGGCGTCGCCGTCGACGTCGGCTTTGGCGCTGCATCCACATCCTGCGGCTCAGCGAAATACGGCACCAGCGTGCTGCAGACCCAGCGACGATAAGCTTCCTGCAAACACAACGAGAGCAAATGCAAATGCGTTTTATACATAGTTTATCTCCAGCCGGTTATCTTTCACGTTAATCTAAATATTACACTTGCTGCAAATATTTAAATCCAATTGCCAGCGAAGGTAAACCAAATGCAGCTCCAGCAGTTTGCGGAGTTTCAAATGTTTTATTTGATAGCTAAGCTTAAGAATTTGCTTGTGCTGAGTGAGAGAGAGAGAGAGAGAGTGTGTATAAGCAGCTTTAAGCCATTTACCAATGCACACTTAAGCATCAAGCTGTCTAATCGTTGCACCTGAGAGAGCCTGCAACTTAAAACTTCCCTTGCCATCATCATAAACCTATGTTTAAAGCAGCTTAATAACAATTTAAGAAAAAAACTTTATTGCAAGTCAGCCTTGAAGGCAGATGTATGAGCTTTTTCAAAGCTTTTTCATAGCTTACTAGGATTTAAAATGCAGTCCAAAAAGCTTTTAAGCACTTTAGTTAACTATCGATACTTAACCATAGTTTTATCGATACTTAACTAATATGTCAACGATTGTGTTAACAAGAGAAAAAAAAGAGTAGATAATAAGTAAAATAAAATTGAAATAATTAATTAAAAAAAAAAAAAATAAATAAATAAATAAACAAGAAAAAAACAAACAA